AGATGGGATTAACAGCAGATTAGACACCAAAGAAAAAATGATCAGTAAACTTGAAGACATAGCAAAATAGGGACAAAATGAAACAGAGAGAGGAAAATGACAGGAAAAATAAATGAACGGACCATCAGTGACCTGTAGTACAATAGAAGGTGGCCTAACATATGTGTAATTGGAGTCCCCTGAGCAGAAGAGACAAGGAAGATACAGACAAATGTCTGAAGAAATGGCCCCAAATTTCCAAAGTTGTCAAAAAATATAAACCCACAATTCAAGAGGCTTAAGAAACTCCAAGTAGGATGCACACACATACACACACGCATACATCAAGGCTTATCATAATCAAATTGTGGGAAACCAGTGATGATAAGAAATCTTAAAAGCAGCTAGAGAGGAAAAACACACATTATGTTCAGAGGAACACAGAATAACCTAAAAGTTCTCATCAGAAACTGTGCAAGCCAGAAGACAATGGGATCGCCAATGCCACCTCCATAGAAAGGACTTCTCTGACCATCCTATCTAAACCACCAAGCCCTCCCTTTCACCCACCGTGTTACATGCTATGTTCTTACCTTGCTTTTAGTTAATAACTCACATTGGTTCCTCTCTCCACTGAACTATAAGTTCCAAGAGGGCAGAATGTTAAAACATCCTCTGCCTTGCCCACTGCTTTATCCCCAGTGCCTAGAACAGTACCTAGTATTTAGTAGGTGCTCATTAAATGTTTGATAAATAAAATTGTCTTCCAGGCAAAACAGTATAAAGGCATAGAGGAGTAAAGCATCCTAGAACTACTGATGGGCACAGTTGGAGCCTGAGATGTGCAGTAGTGAGTGGGAGGGAATAAAGCTGGAGCGTGAGACAGATGCCAGGTCATAGAGGAATTTGTAGGACATGCTGTGGGATGTGGGCTTCATTGCCTAAGCAGAGATTTTAGGCAGAGGAGTGTTGATATTCTTTTTGCATTTTATAAAAATACTGCGGTAGTCCCCTGTGCCAGGTGAGTTAGAGGGGTGAGTTTGAGAGCAAGGAAACAAATGAGGAAGCTATTACAGTAGTCCAGATGGTGCAGACCTAATCCAGACTAGGAGCAGTGAGGATGGACCAGATCTAGAAAGTTCTTTGGAGGTAGAATGTACAAGAGTTGGAGTGCAGGTAGGCATAAAAGGTGAAAGAGAAATTTTTGGCTTGCATGATTGGGTGGATAAGGAATACTGTAGGCGAAGCAAGCTTTAGAAAGTTGGTATTTAATTATCTGTTGCTGTGTAACAAATTACCCCCAAATTTAGCAGCTTAAACTGACAAACTATTATCTCACAGGTTCTGTGGATCAGGAATCTAGGCTTAGCCAACTGCCTATGGCTCAAAGTCTCTTACAAGGCTGCAGGGAACATGTTGGCCAGGACCGCAGTCATCTCAAGGAGTTACTGAGGAGAGAGCCTCTTCCAAGCTCACTCACATGGCTGTTGGCAGCCCTCCGGTTCCCCCCGGCTATTGTCCCTCCAGGGCCTCTCCATTGGGCAGCTCACACATGGAGGTTGGCTTCTCTCCGAGTGAGAGAGCAAGAAAGTTAAGGGAATGCATGCCAAGGTGGGAGTCACAATCATTTATAACTTAATATTGGAAGTGACATCCCATCATTTCTGCCCTATACGCTTAGAGAGAGGTCACCAGGTTCAGCCCACACTCAAGGAGAGGGGATCACACGAGGATATAAACACCAGGAGGTGGGGATCACTGGGACCAACTTAGAGGCTGCCCACACAGAGGGTGAGCGTGGAGATGTTCAATGTGAGGAGTCTGAGACCTCCCTATTGGGACTGCCCTGGATACAGATGGATGTGTAGTTCTAGAACTCAGAGAGAATCCCCTGTCCGGTGAACCCTGTAGCTTGGAACCTTTGCATGAGTTTTTCCCCTAGCTTGCTTTGGAAGCTTCTAGAAGTCAGGGATGAAGAACAGATATCTGTGAATCCCCAGGGTTCCCCTCAAGTAGGAGCTGAGCAACACACGTGCCAATTGAATTACTTGGAGGAGGGCAAAGTATCACATGATTGAAAAGATCTCTCTCCATTTGACAATTCCTGCTGCCACTGAACCAGGGAGAGGTCCCTCCCTTTCTAAGCTCCAGCTTTCTGGTCTGTGTGAAGTGAGTGTTAGACAAGATTAGTAGTTTTTTCAATGGGGCTTTTTTCCCTAGGAACCCCAGTATGTAAAATAGGTAAAAGTTGATCTGATCTGGCCTCCCCAGTGCTTCCCCAGAAAAGAACCCCATTTTCTAAAACACTGAACCAAGTAAATTCCCAATTTTCTGCCAGCTCTGTCATTCTGGGATTTTCCGACAAGATCCACTCTAACCTCCTCCCAGTTCTGGGATTCTGTTTATTGAGATCCATTGGTGCAACATATTTCATTGAACTTTTGAAAAGAAAGCAATTCATATTTCCTTGAGCTTGTGGAAAAAAATAAACAAACAAAAAAACGTAATAAAGCTGACCTTCATTAAATACTTACTACGTGTCGGGCACTGTGCAAAATATATTCTATCACACTATCTATATTTGATCCTGTCTTCTGCTCCACAAGGGCAGGGTCCTGGTCTAGTTCTTCACTATATTTCCAGATGCTAGGATAGTTCCAGGACACAGGAAGCATCTCAATAAATATTTTACGAATGAATGAACTAAGGTAAGGACTCTTCTGATTCCAAGTTTACAGATGAGGAAACTGGGGCCTAGAGCAAAGGCAGAACTAAGATTTGAAATGAGCTCTGTACTCAACGCTACAGATACCATTTCCTGCTGGTGGGACGAGTAGGAAACCGGGAAGGGAGCCAGCATATGCTGAGTACCTCCTCTCTGATGAACACAGTCCTAGGTACTTTTTGCTTCCATGATCAACTGCCCTTCGAGGCAGCCGCTATTATCTCCATTCGTAGACAAGGTAAATGGGGCGCAGAGGGGCTAAGCACCATGTCTCTCTCTAAAGTTGTTTAGCTAGAAGGGGGGCCCGAGCTGGGATTGCAGCCCAAGTCTTTCTGACTCCGAAGCATTCTTGTCCAAGACCCAACATCTTCAACTACATGCACCAAAGTCTGGATTCTGGAAAATACTATGCCCCTGGTGGGTGGAGGTCAGTGTGGCTAATGAGGTTGCCACCCCCTTCTCCAGCTTCTCTGTAGCTTTACATTCTCGAGACCACTGTGCGTTGGGCTGGAAAGGGTCCAGCAGGCTGAGAAGGAACAAGTCCAAACTTCTAAGATGTAGCAAAAGTGGGCACTAGTGACCAAGGATGATAAATGCTGGCACCACAGCCCGCCGCTCCCTGTAGCCTCGCCAACGTCGCGTCTCAGGCCAGGTCTGAAGTGAGACTGACGATGTCACCAGAGTCTCTTAAAGGCCTCATCCCTCATATCCACTTGTCATATATTATTAAGTGGATCTATAATACATGTAACGTTTTCTACTGAATTTCCATTTTTTTTGTTTCATGACCAGGGCAAGAAAAATAGAGCGAGGGTGACTTTCCCCAGCTTCTCATGCTTGTTGCCCTTCTTCGAAGAGTAACCGCGTCTTGAATGATCTCCCCAAGTAGCCACTGAGGCTCTGGTTTCATCAATAAGCATAAAGCCACCGTTTAATAATGGTCGTTTGGCTGACGCATATTCTGCATAGGCCAGCGAGTGAATTTCCCTCATCTTTTCTCCGTGAGCCCACGGGGGACGCAGCTGGACCTTTTTCCTCTCTCCTTTATTCTCCACATCAGTTTTTTGAAACTTTGGCACTGCAGCAATTCTGTTTGAGGCTTTCCACCTTATCACCTCCTGGGGAGATAATGAGAGGTCTCTTAAGAATCTGACATCCTCGTCGGCTGCGTCTGAATCTAATTAGGGCCTGCGATCTCAGGGATCGGGAGGGATTATCCAGGCCGAGGGTTGTTTCAGGCGGGGGGGACGGGATGCTCGGGTGGCCTAGGGCTCGTGTGCAATCGAAAGGGACCAGAGAGGAGAAAGCCCCGCCGAGGCAGATGCTGGGCTCAAGGGCAGACATCCAGCAAACGGTCAGCTTTGGGTGTGGGCCGGCTTCACGGGCATGTGGTCTGTGCAGTCACCCAGCAGCTCACGTCCAGGAGGTCTCCGTGCCTGGTTTCATGCTCTGTTCTCACTTCCATGACATTGTGAATACCTCCTGAACGAGGGGCTTTGCGTATTGGGTCTCACAAATTATGTAGCCTGCCCTACTTGGGCGTGAAATGCAGCTCTGTCGCTTACCAGTGAGGTGGTCTGAGGGAAATCCACTGGCCTCCTGAGGCTGTTTCTGCTTCACAGCGAGTATAATCCCTACTTCTATACCCCGTCGTGAGGATTGCATGAGATGGTGAATAATTGGCGCACTATGTAGTCACTGGTAGGTGCCTAGTAGGTGCTTAGTAAATATTCCCTTCTCCGTAGCTGAGAGGGTATATCAGAGCCACCTGGGGGATTTGTTATTCAAAATACTTTTGCCTGATTCTGACTCAGGTGTGGGCTGGGGGTGCGCAGTGACTTTGAAAGGGGTCCTTGAGTGACACTGACGTACACCCAAGGTTAAGAAAGGTAGCCTTGGGTTTTCAGAGATCTAGCTAAGAAGCAACTTAAGCGAGGAGAGCAAAAGGAGAGGGTGAAATCGATGGGCTACCACTGATCCTTAGCATAATGAAAAACCCGTCACAGAAGAAAGAGGTCATCATCTCTAGCACTTCAGAGGATGGTGATAGTGCTGAAATGTACTGTGGGAACTCATCCCATTATCAAGGCTCCTATAAAATGTCCTGCTGTCCATTTGGCCTGACAAATATACCCAGAGGAAGAGGGGCCATGGGCAAGAGAGGTCAGGGTCACGGCTCAGGTTGGGGGCCACATTTGAATTTATTTTCATTTTACTGACCCTAATACCAACCCTGATTCCTGAAAAGAAATTGCAGCTAGAGGGAGTAATTCTGAATTATTTTTATCCTGCGCAGATTTTAGGCTTTGACATTCTCCTGATGAAAAACCTGAAGCCTGTACTGCTTGAAGTTAATGCAAATCCCAGCATGAGAATCGAGCATGAGCAAGAAGTAAGTCTTTTGAGTATCGCACTGAATATATTGCCGCACAACGGGCTGTTTCCACGCTCACGTTACTTACTTGGCTAAATGAGATTGGACATTCCCAAATTTGCACAGCAAAGTCCTGTTCGAGCCTAAATAATTCCAGTTTTGTTGAGCTCTGAACATGGTCTATTAATATAAGACCCATCCGACCTGTGGTAATTTCCCAGCATGCCGTTCTTCCAGATTTTAAGATCTGCAAATGTGGAAGCAGCTGAGCCTTTCCATCAGTTTTGACATGAACTAATTAGCCTCAGGAGATGAACTAATTGAAATTCTATGAATATGATTTAGCCATGTCGACATGCTTGAATCACTAAGATAAATAGTACCTTTAACAGTGGTTATATATTTTTCCCCCTGGAAAAAAATGCATTAAAAAGACTGGAAGGAAATATACCAAATAGGGGTTTTAGGGGGATTATGTGGATTCTTTCAATTTTCTTAGCCCCTTTCTATATTTATGGATTTTCTACAAGGAGCATGTATAATTTTAATAATCAGAAAAACAGTTTTCCTCTTCATGTGTTTTGTTAATTTGTAAAAGGAAACTGGCATCTTTAAGGTGGCACACGGGGCGCCTTTAAAATATTCTCACACAGATTAACGTAAGCAAACTCAGCCTCTGGATGATGATAGTCACTTGGCATTGAACCCCTGAGTCTCTCCAGCCTAACATGGAATTCTTACCCATTCAAGCTTTCTCCAGGGGTGTTTGAAAATGTCCCCAGCCTTGTCGATGAGGAAGTGAAAGTGGCCGTGATCAGAGACACCCTGCGCCTCATGGACCCCCTGAAGAAGAGAAGAGAGAACCAGTAAGTATTTTTTATGTCATGTATTTCTTTCAACTCCTCTCCCCGCCTCCTACGCAGGTAAGTTCAGTTCTTGGAACATGTTAACGCCATGAGTGAGATTTACATATTAAACAATTTAATGAGTCATGTTTTCATTTATAAATATCAGCCTTCAAACACAGTGACTCCATCAGGAAATGGAGACTTGCCTACGAATTTCTAGCCTGTTGTTATCTGAATCTGAAAGTCTCTCTAAAAACCCACTTTCCCCCAGTGACGGGGTGTCCTCTGGCCCACCGTGTTCCCGTGGTTCTTCTCTTTGAAATCCTCAAGCAGAGGGAGAGAGTAAAACCAACCAGGAGAGGGCCTCAGGTAGCAAGGACATGGTAAGGATGGCGTCCTTGGTATTTTCTTCACGATGGTTATACTCTCACAGTGTAAGCTTTTCATTTTGACGTTTGTAGAGCAGATTTACTGAACTTCTGGCACTTCTATAATATTTATGACAGTTATCATTCCTCTCCATCCCACCCACCCAGTGGGCATCATATTGGGATGTTGGTGGGAGTATGGCCTCCACCCCCTCCACGGAATCACCCCTGAAACAAATGACATTTCACTTTGGTATTTTGTTTGTTTTGTTTTTACCAAATTCCTGGCTCCCACGAAGTAAGGACTGAGTAAATATCATTGTGGTGGTTTTAGGCAGAAAAATCAAAGATGGGCATTTCCAGTAGCACTCCCGTACTCCCGACAAATCGGATTGACCCAAATGCTCCCAGACAAGCAAAGCACTTGTCAGCTGTTGTTTGGGGCTCTGAGGAACGCTGACTTCCCTGACCAAGTGGTGTTTTGCAGGTTTCTGGACGGTGGCCCTTCCCCAAATGGGCTCAAGCCCAAATATTGTTAGATCTGTCCTCCAGTTCTGCCCCTCCCCTTGGCTGCACCCTCAAACCATCTGGGGAGCTTTCAGAGACACCAGTGCGTAAGCCCCCACTTCTAGAGATTTTGGTTTTAATTACCTTGGGTGGGAAGCCTGGCCACAGAAATTTTTGAGGTTCCCTAGGTGACTCTGCCGAGCAGGAAGTGTCACTCTGGCGGAGTATTTGTCATGCTCTGAGTCAGGCTAGGTGGTGCCTGCCCGGCTGGGGTCTCCTCCAGAGTGCTCTTCACTGTGTGAGGCGCACACTGTCATTGTCGGCAAGACTGGGCCGAGGACCGTCACCCCTCGTTTGCGTGGGCTGAGTCTGTCAGATGTGGCTTCCGCCCATTAGAGCTTCAAAGTGATGGTGTGGCAGGTCTGCCGAGCCCTCGGAGCCACTCAGACAGCCCGGCAGCCAGAGCCGTCTTTAAGGAAAAGTGCTGGATTAATGCAGCTTGGCCAGATTAATTGCAATATGACTCATTTCTCGAAAACCTACTACAAGTATCTAATGGTTATTGATCTCACCGGTAGAGATTAGGTCTTGGAAGACTGTGGCACTGTGGGGAGATTTTGGTTGCTGTCCACGCCAGTGTGGCATGGTGGTAAAGATGACCTTGACACGTCAGCATTCTGATTCTTTGGCGGGAACAACTTCAAAGGCCATTGTGTGGCCCGAGCCTTCTTAACCTCTGTCACCAAACTCATTTTTATTTTTATTTTATTATTATTATTTTAATGCTTTCGTGTCTTTTATTTTTTTTAATTTATTTTATTGTTGAAAGTATTATTACTATTTTTTAATCTCCACCTGAGGTTATTTTTTCCATCGCTTTTCAGAGAGAGTGGAAGGGAGAGCGAGCGAGAGAGAAACATGGATGTGAGAGAGAGACATCGATTGGTTGCCTCTTGCACACGCCCCGACCGGGACCGAGCCTGCAACCGAGGTACATGCCCTTGTCAGAATCAAACCCTGGACCCTTCAGTCTGAGGGCCGACACTCTAACCACTGAGCCAAACCAGCTAGGGCACCAAAACCATTTTTACATCAAATGGCATTGGAACACGATCAGCTTTCTTTGTCTTGCTCTGAGTTGTTTTCCTTTCCCTGCACCTGGCGTTCCGCATAACGCACGCGAGCTGAAGATCTGATTTAATAGCAGCGGGGCACGGAGCCGTCAGGAAGGATGGGAAAGGCATTTACAACTTATTAAGTCATAAGTGGCAGCACTTCATCTTTAATTTAAAAAGCATTGACTTTTCTCTTAATTGATAACCAGGAACAGTTAGAACTTCAAGAACCTGACTTCAATTCTAATATAAAAATCCTTTCATCTCACCCTTTCCTTACCTGCAATATTAAGGGTTTATGTTAATAGCTAAATGTCATTACTGATATTTTCCTTTAGTTTCATCTTTTTATTTTAAAACCTAGCAATGATTGTCCGTGAAAGCACTTTGTAATCTGTGAGGTGCATGTATGTGTACGAGACTATTGTCATCATTTTGGTAATTTCGCCATGCGGAGAGAAAGGCTAAAGTTATTCTCAACTCCTCTGTGTGGAAGTGTTTCGGGATGGCTTAGAGAAGCACTATGTTTACACCCGCGGAAAATGCACAGGGTTGCACTGAATCACGCGTGTCCATGTCTGAGGCTGAGTCCCTCCGACTGCAGGAAATGATATCACGTAGACTCCTAGGCTGGGCATAACCTTTAGAAGCCAGAGTTTTTGCATTTGCATAGAATGTGACCTAAACCCTTTAAAACAAATGGTACGCTAGCCTTTCCTTTGAGCTCTTTAGCTAAAGAGGGTCCAAGGCGCCCCTCATTAGCTCCTTCTTGAGTACATTTTGTCAGCAAGACCGCTGAAGTGGGCCTCCATTTCTCTGCACAGACTAACGGGAAAGGTAGATGGATGCCTGAACTCCTCAGAGCTCTCCGTCCCTCTGAGAGGATGCAGAGGGGGCGTTAGAAGGGACCCACCCAGATGTGTGTGTCCAGATGTCATGCATCTTCACCCCCCCCGGGGGACTGTAGGCTGCGGGCATTTCCATGGCAGGACTGAAATCAGTCCTCATGCCTTTGCTGGGGAGAGAGCTTGCTGATACCCATCTTTGCAGAGTTGCAAGAGCTTTTTCTTGAGCTAGAGAGACTGCGATGCAAACTCTGACCTTGGGGAGTTGCAGAGCTGTTTTGAGTCTCAGTGTCCTTTTCTATAAAATGGGGATAATAACACTTAGATGAAACGTTCAAAACTTTTAGTATATAGCAGGCACTTAGTATGCTTCATTTACTACCCAACAATAAAATTACCTTCTAAAACATTAACACACACACACACACACAAACGCTTACTTCCCCTTCTTTCCTGGTATACTTAGAGTCGAATTTTGAGTTTAAAACCAATGACATGCCCTAAGACTGAAGCTGCGAGATCGCTGTGGACGGGAATTGACATTGAAGCTGGTCGCAGTGGAAACTTGTTTCCAAGTAGCAAAATGTCATGGGCCCAGGCATGTTTATTTGTTGGGTGAGGGAAAAATACCTTTGGCCCCTGAAGGAATAAAACAGCTGTCCTATGAGAACGATTTGGAACATTTTGCAATAGCTAGTGACTCTGTTCACTTTCGTGCCAGGGTTCTTTGGAGGCACTGCAGGGACATAGGAATGGGAGGCTAGTGGGGTGGGGCTCTGGAACGATCATGTATCTCTGCAAGCACATATGTGGAGGTAAAACTTACATAATAAACAATTAGCCATTTAAAAGTGCACGGTGCACCCTGGCCCGTGTGGCTCAGTTGGTTGGAGCATTGTTCCAGGTGGCAGGTTTGATTGCTGGTCAGGGCACATGCCCAGGTTGTGGGTTTGATCCCCAGTCTTGATCTATGGAAGGCAACCAATCCATGTTTCTCTCTCTCTAAAAAAAAAAAAAAAAAATCAATAAAATAAATAAAAGTGCACAATTCAGCAGCACTTAATATGTTCACAGTATTGTGCAACGATCACTCCATCTAGTTCCAAAATGCTTTGTCACCCCGAAAGGAACTCTTGCGTGCATGAAGCAGTCACTCCCCATCCCCCCTACACTAACCAACTTCTGTCTTTGGATTTACCTATTCCGGACACTTCGTCTAAGTGGAATCATGCAATATTCAGGCTTTTGTGTCTGGCTTATTCCACTCAGCATAACGTTTTTTGGGCTCACCCATGTTGTAGCATGTATCAGTACTTTATTTTTATGGCCAAATAATATCCCATTATGTGGATGTACCCACATTTTATTACCCATTTGCCACTTGATGGACATTTGGGCAGAAGCCATCTCTTTTTCAGCCAGAGTGGAGCTGCAGCGACCTGTTTTATATTTTAGCATTCTACACTAGATTTCATTTGAGGGGAAATAAGTGTTTAAAACCCTTGGTTTAATCCAACCCCTTATTTTATCGATAGAAGCACAGACTATTAGAACTGGAAGAGACCTTAGAAACCATCATGTCAGTCAGCAACCTGGTTCATGAATCTCCCTCGCAGGCATCCCTGACAGAGGAGCAGCTGTGTCCTCGAGGCCCTGGGCGAGGCACCAGTCAGGTCTGGGATGATGTCCTTCATCTCCGATCACTGCTCTATGAGCTTGGCCTGGTGGCTTTGTTCTCTGGTCTCATCTATAAGATGGGGATCAAGGTGTATCTCCTTGGCTGGGTTGTCGTGGTCATCATATGAAATGACACAGGGCAGAGAGCCTCATGGCATCTGCGAGCATTAGACGAACACTAGTTCTTAGGGTCGCCAAGTGGCCAGTCAGACTTTACAGTTATCCTGACGGTGACACCTGAGCCGCCTGCCGTGGGGCAGCCTAACTGAGTTGTGTATATAATGGCTCCAAATCGTACAAGATGAAACTAAGAAGGTCAGTAACTTGCCCCAAATGACAAAGCTGGTTGGAGGCAGGGCAGAAACGGGCCTGTGGGTCTCCCGACTTCGCCCCCAGTGTTCTTTCCGCTTTGCCACTTTGCCCCATTGACCTGCAGCTTCTATTTCAACTCAAAGCTAAGCTTATAAGATAAGGGGGCGGGGGAGGAATCAGGGAAATCAATAGAA